TTCCCTACAAGCAGGGCTTAGGTTGGCTTACATCAAAGGTAAATACAATATAATTGGATTAAACAGCATTAAAGGTCCCGGTCACACGAGCGGGAAAATCCGTCGGGAAAGGGAGGCATATTAGATGCGGAGCTAAAAGAAGCACGGGAGTGCGATGTTACGCTCCCCCGCGGCTCCGTTCTCCCTCCATCGGCACCCGATCACATTGGGGAGGCAATGGTGTAGTCCCAGCGAGGCCACACGGCGGTCCAGTGTTAGTGCGCATGTGCAGGTCACAGACGGCTACAGGATGCTATGGGCTGCTGGCGCATCCGCGATCCCACGCCCGCTGTTGCTGCGGAACTTCTGGTAGGTACTCCATTTTCCCTAGTACCTTTTTGATCCGCATTTTCAGCCGGATGCAACGAGTTAGGGGCAGGTGCGCGACGCTTGCCAGATGTTGGCATCTGGTCGCGCCAGTTTGATCCGCCCTTAATCCGTCCCCTCCACGTACCTAATTCTCCGTGTGACCGGGGCCAAAATACTTTAAAAATTACAACTATTCTGGAAGAGTTTCTCCTGGATTTCTCAGGAGTTGTAAGGTCTGTGGTATTCTTCTGGGGTCAACTCTCTACCATTTGTAGTCACCCTGGTGCTTCTTAAGGGGAAGGTACTATTGAAGGATAGTTGTTCTCCACTAGAATTATTTTATAGTATTCCTCAGGGATCAGTCTCATCCCCTGCCTTCTCCTTGTAAATCTCCACTGCAACAGATTTTCTGGTTTAGTGGAGTGTGGTGTCAATCTGTTGATGGCATCCCTATCTGTTTTTCATTGAGACCCCATGGAACAGTCATGTCCCTAAAGAAACTTCTGAAAGCTTGGACAGTGACTTTGGGCTGGAATGCCTTTTTTCAGCGTCAGATGATTTGCCAGTTGCACTGTTAAAATTGGAGCTTTATCCATTGTCATTCATGTCTTGGTAACATCTATCATACACTACTATAATGCACTCAGTATTATACCAGTTTGTTCAAAATGCTGCTGTTTGCCTATTGATTGTATGTTTCAGGGCACAATTTAAGGTTTCTAACCTATAAAGACTGGAGTCATTCCAGGAGCACATTCCAGTCTGCCACTGACACCTTTCAAAATGCTGCATTAGCATCTACTAGGAGCAGGGTTGCCTTTGTAGTCTGTGGTGGGCTGTGCCTCCTGAAATCATGCCCCTGTGCATCTACTGGCACCCAGGAAATGTGTGCAGGTGAAGTAGGGTTCTGCAGTGGGAGGGTAGATTTGGCAAATGTTACCCTCTCCTGAGTACATGCAGCTCCCCTGCACTTGTTTAGACCTTTCCGTCTACCAAGGCCTGTATCGTCTCCTCCAGTTAGGAGAGGCTCCCCAGAGGCTTTTAACTGGAAGTGCTAGGGATTGAACCTGGAACATTCTGCATGCAAAGCAGAGGCTGAATCAGTAAGCCTCTGCTTACCCCGGTGGAAGCACTTCCTTTTAGTGGCAGAAATGGGCTCCAAGCCATAATCTCTTTAACTGAAATGTATGATCCTCTTATGATATTTACACAAAGCTGCTTTAAAAAAAAAATACAGCAAGCTGTGTGGAAAATGTCTGTCAATCATCATACAGCTCAGTAGTCCATGAGTTTATATTCTGGCTTGATACTTGAGGCCAACAAGTAGCAAGACACCATAAGTTGTCCACTAATCTATCAAGGATGACTTTTTTTTTTTATTCCTGCTTTTCCCAGACACTACAGTCAGGTCTGTCTTGTGGTTGAGATCGTATAGTTCTGTGAGGCAGGGCAATTATATGACTAAGGTGTAAAGGGGCAAACTAAAGAAGAAAAGAAGCTTGGAGAGAAGAAATGCCTTCTAGAGTTTATGCCAGTCCACACCAGTCTACAAAAATGTCTTCATGTTGTAAATGATGAGCATTAAATCATCTAAGAATAAAGTATTGTGTGTAATTTTCTAAAATACTAAAAATACTAAGTTGCATAGTGTTTTATCTGAAGCTGTATGAAGATTTGTTGAGTTTTAAAGCATACATATATTATTATAGCCACCAATAAGTGCCACTTTTATTTTTGAAACTATTGAAATGGTAATGGATATTTTTATTTTAAATTGGCCTCTTCCCCCCCCCCCCTTTGTTTCGATTTAAATCAGACCACCCTGAGACAGGATGACTTAGTTTACACCTTGGGAATTGTCCTGCTTTTATGTTTTAAACATTTGTTTTTAAATTGTTTTTTTTTCATTGTGTGTTAATGCTGCGCACAACCTACCTGACTCCAGAGCCATACCTTAGCAAGCCACTGTTGCTTGCCTGGGCCCTCCACAGTCCCTATGTTTTCTCTTCAGACCATGCAGAGTCAGACCCTAGCTGACCACTGTTGTTCATTGGGTCCTTCCCTTGGCCACGGCTGCTTCCTCTAGCACCTTCAGTCCCCATGGGTCTGCTGCTGGGCCATGTTGCTTTCTGAAGCCTCTTAAAGTCATAAGCCAATGGCTTTTGTGGATGACTTCTTTTCCTCTGCGATACTTGAAAGAACAGCGCTTTACTTTTCCCCATTGCAGTGAAAAGCAGATGTTCCCTTACACACAAGAAAAGAGAAGAATACTTGGGACACTACTAGACTGGGGTTACCACAGTTGCTCTCTGTTCCCAATCATTCTGTCCACTAAAGGAACCCTTCTTTAGTAGTAGCCTGCTTCGCATATAGATGATCCAAAGGTAAAATCTCCAGTTCAATTGATCTTGGGACTGAGAGACATCTCCCTCTGTCTGAAAATGTGTAGAACCTCTTTTTGTCAGCGTAGATGGTTCGGAGCTAGATATATTTTAGCTGATACAGGGAACTTACACAAAACTTGTTATAAGGTATTTCAAATCCCTTCTGAGCCACGAAGGCCATCTTGAACTAGGAAGTCCCAGCTAGTCCTGCCTCAAAAGCCTCTGGTGAGAATAAAGTGAGAGAGGACCATGCATGTTGCTCTGAAAGATTCACATCTTTGTGTGCAGCCTAAATTTTGTGAAGGGTGGTTAGTCTTGAATTGTTTTTGGACAAATACAGTACTTGTTGTCAAGCCCTTTATGAAACTTATTACCTAGAAAACTGGATATAAACATTATGAAGCAATTAAAAGGGTAGAAATCAAGCATGGCCTTAAGATAAGTAGTGCCCGAAAACCAACCAGTAGCTTTTGGATCGGCTATGAAACTGGGTGGCCTTGAGCCAGACAAAGTCTCAGGCTAACCTGCCTCACAGGGTTATTGTGAGGATAAAATGAAGCAGAAGAGAATGACATGAGCTGCTTTGGGTAGAAAGGCAAAGTATAATAGAGTAAATAAATAATTTGCAAAGACTTGCACGGCTTGTGATCCATGAAGCCTGTTGAGTATGCCTTGAGGTTTTAACCCCAGAGAATCATCAAAATACAATTTTATTATTTTATTTTTCTAATTTATTAAATTAGATTTTTAAACTGCCCTTCACTGGAAAGCAGGGCTCAGGGCAGAGTACATCAATAAAAGCAGCAATATATTAATTTAACAGTTAAAACAATAAGAATATGAAAATATACAATAAACATTCTGATAAGATTATATTAACTACCGATTGTGCCACTGCCTCGGGGTGGAGGGGCAGGAGAGCTAGCCAAATGGGAACTATCACTATCCTCAACTGAACACCTGGTGGAACATCTCTGCCTTACAGGCCCTGCGGAATTGCATTGGTTCCCATGTTATTCAGCAGGGAGTTCCACTAGGTTGGGGCCAGGGCAGAAAATACCCTGGCCCTGGTTGAGGACAGGCGAATGTCTCTCAGGCTGGGGACCACCAGTAAGTTCTTATCTGCTGAGTGTAACGCTCTTCAGGGGGTATACCAGGAGAGGTAGTCCCGAAGATATGTGTTTCCCAGACTGTTTTCAAGCTCCGAGTGCAATAGGTGGGTCATGTTTGGCTAGGTAAGTCACAACCTGTGGAAGCCTGCTTTACAGAACTAGGCTTTCAAGATGTCCAGTCAGTATCTTATCATCCCTCTGTTTATCCTCTGTCTAATTTATATCCTGCCTGCCCTCATGCATACCTCAAGGCAGTGTTCATAGTTCTCCCCTCTTCTCTTTTATCCTCACAACAATCCTTGGAGGTAGGTGATGCTGAGAGGAAAGGATGAGCCACCCAGTGAGTTTCATGGCAGAGTGGAGATGCAAACTTGCGTTTCCCTAGTCCTAGTCTGACACTTTAGCCACTTATATAATGCTTTTAATAACATCCTCCTCCTTTGATTTTATGGACAGTATATTTGAAATAGAATGCTAAAAGACTCTTGCAATTACTTAATTTCCTCCTCTCCCCCCCCTTCTTATGTTTTGCTTTACAGCCCCAGCAACAACAGGTGACTTCCCAGCAGTTGGCCTTTCAACAACAGCTTTTACAGATGCAACAACTGCAGCAGCAGCACCTCCTATCTTTGCAACGCCAAGGTCTGCTAACAATTCAACCAGGCCAGCCCACCTTGCCATTGCAGCCTCTCACCCAAGGTAAGCTCCAAGGCTACCGTTTTGTGTCATGAAGCTTCTCCAGGGTTCACAGTAAGTTGGCCAGCAGTTCTTAATGTCTCACACTGTTCTAGTTTATAGCTTAACAAGCTTCTTGGAGAACCAGAGTTTGGGTCTTTTTCTCATTAACATTTTATTGGTAGGATTAAAACAATAAAACGAATAAAAATATACATAAAGGTCATAAGAACAGTTATACATTCAAACCAACACACTAATTACAAAAAAGTAAGCTTTAAAGAATGATACATTCTTCAATAAATCTTTGAACAAAGTGACTTATTTTAGCCTCAATTTGTAATTGATGCCTGTACTGTTTGTTGCCTTAGATACAACCAAGTGTCTTCTGCCCTCAAGAATATCTGTAGACATTCAATGATATATCTAACCATATTAAACACAAAGTACTACCCACAATTCAAGTTTTACCAAAGCCTACTTACTGTACTTTATTTGAACCATAAAAAAACCCTCACAACCATTTAACATAGTTATCCCAGGATGCTGAAATAAATTTTTTGTCTGATAGAGCTTCTAAAATTGGCAACCATTTGGCTTCGAACCCAAAATGTACGACGTTCCTTTTATTTCTGTTAACTTTATCAGTGATGCTTTCCATAATGAACTGATTCCACAGCTTCTTGTACCAAGTTTGAAAACCCCCCTGTAACACCCAGCTGCATTGTTGTTGTTCTTAGCTTTATGAGCTTATTAGTGCAAGTTAGGATGTCTTTACAGATAAGTGTTGCTTACAGAGAACTTTCTTTAAAAAAGCAAGTTAACCAGTAAGGGTGTGCATTTGGATCTACCCAAGTCGAAAATATACCTGAGAAATACCTTATCAGTATCTTTTGGGAATATTCTGGCTTCCCAAATGTATCTGGGTTTTCTCCCCCAAATCCCAAGAAAATCACAGATACATTCAGGAATTTTCTGGTAGATCTGAAAACAACAGCTCAGCTGTTTGTCAGGCAGGCATATGCAGTCCCTTTAATATTTAAAGGGACTGCAGAAGTCAGCCTGAGGATCAGCCAGTGTGGCAGGGAGCTGAGAGTTCTCCACCACCTCAGCTGTGGCTGGCTTCTCTTGCAGCCTGGTTTAAACTGGGCTTCAAGAGAAGCCAGCCCAAGATCAGCTGAGTCAGTGGGGAGTTGAGAGCTCCCTGCTGGTGCAGCTCTGGGCTGCTTTCTCCTGCTGCCCAGTTTAAACCAGGCTGCAGGAGAGGGCAGCCCAGCTGGGATTGGCTGTGCCCGTGGGGAGCCAATCACTCCTCGCCAGCTCAGCTCTGCCTTCCCCTACAGCTCCTGCCTTCTCCTACCAGGATTGGGCTGGTAGGCTTTTTTCCAGTTCTGGTCTATTGGACCGGAAAAAATTCAGGATTTCTGAAAAATCCCAGATCCCAATACCATATCGGTATTTGGATCTGGGATGATTCAGGAATCCTGAATTTTTTGAGGGTCCAAAAGACCTGAACTGAAAAATACCCGTTAAAAAAAATTGCACACCTCTATTAATGAGCTTCTGTTGCCTCATGAACAAGAAACTTAAGAGTTCCACTGATGAGGAACTCTTTTTAACTTGAACATTTTTATAGCCTTACAGCCCTAATTTGCAGCTGCGGTGGCTCAAGTGGTTAAGACACTGAACTGCAGGCTGTAGAAGGTCAGTAGTTCAGCAGTTCGACCCGAGTTGCCGCATGACGGAGTGAGCTCCCGTCTCTAGTTCCAGCTCCTGCCAACCTAGCAGTTCGAAAGCAAGAAATTGCAAGTAGATAAATAGGTACCCCTTCGGTGGGAAGGTAACAGCGTTCCGTGCGCTTTGGTGTTTAGTCATGCCGGCCACATGACCACGGAAACGTCTTCGGACAGCACTGGCTTTTCGGCTTTGAAATGGAGATGAGCACCGCAACCCTAGAGTCGGACTCGACTGGCTTTTGAGCAAGGGAACCTTTACCTTTACCTTTTTACAGCCCTAACTTGGATAGCCCAGGCTAGCCCGATCTCATCATGTCTCAAAGCTAAGCAGAGTCGACCCTGATCAGTATTGGACGGGAGACCACTAAGGAATACCAGGTTGCTGCTACGCAGAGGCAGGCCATAGCAAACATCTCTTGCCTTGAAAATCTCTTGCCTTGAAAACCCTACAGGGCCACCATGAGTTGGCTGCAACTTAATGGCAAAAAACCAAACACAAACAATCGTTTGCCCAATAACAGATAGTTGTCTTAGTAACTTTTTTAAAAAATGAATATTTGGGGCACTGCACAGGACTTGGCTGCAAGGCTGTGCCTCTATGTCTTGTCTGAATGCAAGTAAGGCTAGAGAGGTGTGGAAGGTGAAAGCAGAAGCAGCACTAATGAAATGGAAGGAAGAAGAGGAGGAGCAGCTTACTAAGTGGGGTGGGTTGACCATTTCTTAAATAGCTGTTCTAAGGAAGCATGATAGAAAAGTAGTTGTAGTAATGATGAAGTCTTGGATCAGTTGTAGCACAGCTCAGTTTCCTAACAAAACAGCCTTAACTTTATTTTTGATTCCCCACCCGACTTGTTTGGCAGAATACTAAATTCTTAGTCATTCATTTATTTATTTAAAATACATGTAATCCAACCCGCAACCAGTGTTCTCAGCAGTTAAAATATAATGAAACATAATTCTTGAAAGTGTCTGAAATTTCAAAATATGCAAAATGACAGCCAGCATTTTTAACAGCAGTTAAAAACAAGAACAATACAACCACCAAGTAACAGTAATTGTTGCCAAAGTTCTGAGAAAACGGAATGTCTTCACGAGGGTTGCTGCTTCTGGGGGCTTCAATCCGCCCCACCCCCAAGAGTCTTTTTGTGAGCGGAGCTACAACTAGTGACTGCCCCCTCCCTCCCTGCTGAAAGATTTAAAGGGCCCTTCAGCGAAGGGACCTGGCAACCCTAGTCTTCACCTGCCCCCTATCAGTCAAAGGGGCAAGTTCCAGCGTCTGCCTCAGAAGGAATTCTACAGGTGAGGTCCTACTCTTTCTCTAACAACTTCCCATCTCATATCCAAAAATAGGGTATAAAGAATAAGGCCTTTGACAACCATCTAAACCTGTTTATATGGAAATCTATAAGGTACTCTGGTCACAAGCCACATAGGGCTTTACAAAGGTAAAAACCAGTGCTTAGAATGGTATTTGGAAACAAAATGGCAGTGAAATTTCTTCAAAACTGGCTAGATGAGTTCCCAAGGGGCTGTACCACTCACAGCAGTCTTTGTTCTGAATTATTTGTTCAGAAACTTCATTCCTTGAAGGCAGCCCCACATAGGGAACATTGCAGTAATCTAATGTGAATGTTACTACAGGAGTGCTTGTTATCATGGGATATCTATGCGTAGATTTTACTTGGTTCTATTGTCGACCATTAAACGGATTGGATTCTGAGAGACTTGTTCATCTAGGCTTTGTACTCCTGAGCATGCAGAACCTGTGAGTATTCCCCACTGAAATGTGTCAGTTTACTTCTTAGTAAACATAGGATCTGGGAGAGAAGGTGGCATCTCATCAGATCTTGTAAGCTAATCAGGATCAGTACTTGGAAGGAAGACTCTGCAGAGGAAGGCAATGGTAACCCACCGCTGCTTCTCACTTGCCCTGAAAGCCCTTTCCTGAGATTGCAATAAATTGGTTGCAACTCAGTGGGACTTGATATTAGGCTTCATGTCCTCAGACAAGCCACTTTTTGGGTCTCTGCTTTCAGTTTCTTCACCTGTAGAATGTGAATACTCCTTTTTTAACCTTACAGAGTTGCTCTGAGGACAAACCAGACTGGAACATTTATAAGTATATCCCATCTAATGTTCTTTGCAAACACGGCAAAGTGGAATTAAGTTCATTAAAATTAACCACAATGAGAGGTATTTTCCTGCTTCCCTTGCATGCCTTCTGTAAGCACGTTACGACTCCTTGTAGTAGTAGTAATAATAATATTTATTATTTATAAGGTGCCTAATAGTTGGGTGCTATACAAAAAGTATCATTAAGAAAAGATGATCCCTGCCCTCAGGCTTCCTGTCAAAAAACGAACTTCCTCATGCACATTATGTGCTGGGATTTCCAACGGGGGGGGTGGGGGTGGGGGGGGTAACTTCAGTGCCAGGCCTGCTTCTGTGCCTCACAATACAGAAATGAGTGTCGTTTCCTACTGATGTCAGCAGCTGCTAAAGGTGCAGGTATAGATGCTGGCCGAAAAGTTGGCAGTGCTAAAAGGTGGGATAACATCTTCAGAGAGAGACAGGGATGGAGCCCTTCGGTAGAGGTGTACAGTCCCACTTGGGTCTTGTTTGCTCTGTGGCACTTTGCTGTTTTAGGGAGACTGAACAATAGCTGTCTGTCTCCTGCGCTCTTCCTGTCTTTAGAAGGGGTTTCTCTGTGCATAAAAACTGTCTTAAATAAATTTGGAGAGGTGGTGTAAAGATATTTTAAATAAATACATGCACTTTTTGTTTTAAATAAACCCTCCAGATTAACCCCAGTTCAAGCGGTTTTGTTTGGCCTATGCGTGCCTTAGTGAGAAGTTAAGTCTGTAAAGCATAACGTCACTGTTTTGCAGAGATATATTCTCCCCCCCCCCCCCCCCCCCCCCCTAAATGCTAAATTTGAATAGTCAGCTCAAAAGCTTCATTTAACTCAGTTGACTGCTCTGGTTTAGTCAAAGCCTTAAGGCTTCCACTAGTTGTCAACACTTGTAGTGAATTTGCTCCCCTGCCCTTCCTCTTTCTATATTTATGTTTGCTGTGTGAGAGAACAAGGATTATGTGGCTTGCAAGTCGCAACCCATTCTGTCCCGAACGAGCCTATCGTACAAGCAGTACTCTCTTTCTTAGCCAGCCAGTTACTTTTATTGTCAAAGTGGTTGTTTAGTTGTCCCCAAGCTGCTGTTTGAGACTGAGAAGATGTCTGTTCCTTCCTCTGCCCTTTCCTTGCTCTCCTCATTGTGTGGGGTGGAGTCA